TCCATGTGATTGCTATCCAACAATGGTGGTGCATTTTTTTATGAAATGATTTCTGTCACTATTAGAGGTGGTTATACATCCAAAAATTGGGATGGTTACATCTTCAAAGTAGAGGATTCTAAGACTTTATCACTTGCATAAGAGAGGGATTTAAGTTCAATTTGGTTAGTTAAGTCAAGTGAGCAATGAGATCCATCATTGGTTTATTGACTCAGGATTTCACAAAGTAGAAAGCACAAGGGGTAAGAAAACTAATTGTCCTTTACTCACTATTAAGGTAGGCATTATTGTGTAGGTTATAATGCTCTTCTCCTATATCATGCGAAATGAAGAAACAGTCTACGCTTACCCATTAAATATTCAATAAAATCAAGGATTGTGTTTGAATTTATCATTCATACAAACTATGAAGTTAATGAAAGTTGTTAACAACACATGTGTGCTTCTTCAAATAACTTTTCTTTTCTATAAATTACCAAAAAACATACATGCTTCTTATCGAGCATCCTTGACTGCACTTTTGATGTCAAGGGATTATATTTACTATATAAATCAGTGGATAATTTCACTGAGTGCTCTGCATGAATTATATTTACTATATAAATGCAAAAGCCACATTGTTGTTCCTTCAAAACCTTCTTTGATGTTTTGGTCAAAACCCGAAGCTTTAGAAGTTTTACACATTTAGTTTACTCACAACATGTTTCACTTTTCTCCTATTTTGCAAACCAATTTTCTCACATAAGAAAAATATACACAAATATGTGCATTTCTTTCTTTCTATTTTTAGATAAAGTATACAAAATCTACAACTGGCCAGCCTTTGGGAATAATTGGCGCAGTACAGGTTGTAGCAAGTGTTCAAGTTGCTATTTAAACCTCAATTTAGAGATTGAGTTATTTTCAATGTATCCTTTTACGACACCATGTGAGATTTTACCATGTTTGTTGTTGTGATTTTATCCTTTAATGCCTTTTATGTCTTTTTAGTCTTTTCTTTTTGTAGCAGATTTTTTAAAAATGGATTTGCCTTAGTAGGCAAGTGTTTGAAATATAAAGATTAAAAGAATTTTTATCCGAATTTACTGTCACACTGTATTCAATACGAATTTTTTTTGGCTCAAAATCTTGTTCTCACTAATTTATGATAAAAATGTGTTTTTATATATTCTTGGACTAAAAATGTAGGAGTGTGCAGGTAGGTTAGGAGAAGAGAGCATGATCGAAACAAAGTGGTTATTACTTTAAGGGTTCTTTTCCTCATTCACTACTTTAAGGCCTAGAAGATGGATTGCTACATTAGGTAACTTATCATATATTTTCTTATATTTCACATAGGTACAAAGCAGGATTTTGGTGCTCCACATGGAGGTACAAAGTAGAATGCTCACCTTCATCTACTCATAATTGTACCGTAAAAAGTGTCTGACAAAACCTCCATCTTTTATATTCGAATTTGATTGCATAAATGGGGTTCTTCATAATCACAAGGTCAGTATGTTATTCTCTATTACTCCTCTCATTTTCCTTATTCTTTCATTTGTTTCATCCCAACTAGTTTTCATAAATAAACTTTCATTCTTTAGTTGTTGATGTTATTTGAGTATCAACAAACTAACTTTTTTTCTTTTATGAGAAAGGGAGATTAGATGAGAGTTGCATCGAAGTAAGTGTCGTACTCTTTAGGTTTTTCCAAATGCTTACTGTACATTAAACATTCAATATTCAAAGCAGGTAATGAATTGGAATCGAGATAATATATATATTCATACATGTCATTGATGTTCATGTTCAAAAGGGTAATCTCTTTTAATCAAATCTAATTTCCTTCAATTGAAGTAAATAAGTTTCATATATTGACGAAAATGTTGCTCAAATGTATGTTATGTGTACTCTTAATTATGAAAGCTGATTAAAGTGTTTTGATGCTCGCAGGATATTTTGCAAAATTCTTTATAAACATATATTTAACTGTCAGGTGTAGATAAAAAAAGGCGGTGATTTCTTGATGTTATTTAATGTTTTTTGCTTTTAATTACAACTCCCCAACTAATTTGGAGCTTCTATTTTTTGTGATAAATATTTTAAAATGCTTGCATGTTAATTATTAATCTTAGTAGGCAAGTGTTTGAAATATAAAGATATAAAGAATTTCTATCTACATTTACTGTCACACTGTATTTAACATGAATAGTTTTTTCTACGAAATTTTGTTCTCACTATTATTTAATAAAAATGCATTTTAATGTGTTCTTGGACTAAGTATATATGGGAGTGTGCAGGTAGATTAGGAGAAGAGATTGAAACAAAAAGGTTATTACTTGCACCAAGTAAAAAAGATTTAGCTTAATATTTTCATATTTTTAAGGGTTCTTTTCTTCATGCAAGAAGTGTTGATAACTAATGTACATTTATCTAAGTAATTTCTTTTCCAAATAAAATTAAAAGATTTTTCTTTTGTTTCTAGTAATATTTACTTCGTAATAATATTTACGTTCAAATATAATTTACATGTTATTCCTATGTTGTTTGGAAATGCTTTATTGTTCAATTGGGAAAATGTTTGGAGCTATTCTGAAGCTGCTTGGGCTATTGTGAGATTGATTTTTTATTGTTCAAACTGATTTTTGATGCTCATGTAGTTTTCCAAATCATTTTGTGCTTTTTTTTAGTATGATTTGGTGGTCGTTTTGGTACTAATTCTTTGTGTGTGTGATGATGCTTTTGTTGTTGATGTTAGATTTGTTGAATGATTAGAAGTTGCTAAACAAATAGATATCTTTGCCAAACGACTGAGGTGATTGATTTTCGTTTAGGCATTGGTAAATTGAGCATATAGTTTCTTATTGTTTCATCTTATTTGAAGAAACAAGTGATTTTGATTTTAGAAGATTATTGAGGTTTCTTACGAGTTGTGGAAATTTTCAAGCTTGATAACCTTAGAATTGTTGTTGGTTCTCTACTATTGTACTTTATTTTTCTCAATTCAACTTTCTTTGAAAACTATTTCACATGTTATTGTAAGTGATAAGGCATGCATTGTGGCTATGAAGATCCAAGAGTAGCTTGGTCATATGCTTTTCAATTCACGAGAAAACCATATTCACATTTTTGTAATTTTTTTATGTTACTCAAAGTTTAACATTCCCTTTGTCTCATTTTAAAATTTCTGTTGTTCACAATCTTTGGTGGAAGCTACTTTCAAATGAATTTATATCAAAAATAGGGAGGAAATAAAAAATATAATTTATATATTTAAAATTATATCAAACGTTTTTTTTAAAAAAAGTAGGTGACATGATTATATTATTTTATCAAATAAGTAACAAAAATGAATAAAGAACTGATCAAAGTTTGATAATGTGAATAATAATAAGCAACTTAAATTTGGGTGATGAGGAGAGTACTTATATCTCACGAATAACGCATTTTTTCCTTTAACTAAGGCAGCGTTTCGTTCAACTTGTTTTTCTGCGTATTACTTATTCTTATTAAAATCAGGTCAGACCAGATCTAAACAAAATTATTATTGTTATTATTATTATTAATACTCCTATTGTTACCATTGTTATTAGTATTATTATTACTATTACTATCACTATTAATATTATGATTATAATTCTTATTACTAATGTTATTATTATTACTATTACTATTATTGTTATTTATATTAATATTAATAATAATATTATTGTTACTATCATTATTACTATTATTATTACTACTATAACTATTATTATTATTATTACAATTATTATTACTATTGTTATGATTACTATTACTATTTACATTATTATTACTATTACCATTAATATTATTACTATTATTATTACTACTGCTACTATTATTATTATGACTATTATTATTATTATTACAATTATTATTATTATTATTACTATTATTATCACTATTATTACTATTTCTATTATTATTATTTCTATTATTATTATTATTACTATTATTATTATTATTATTATTATTATTCTTGTTGTTGTTGTTTTTGCTTTTATTATCAATATTTCTATTATTTTTATTTCTATTATTATATTATTATTACTATTCATATTATTATAGTTATTATTATTATTACTATTCCTATTATTATTATTATTATTATTAGTATTATTTTTATTTTTATTTTTATTATTACTATTATTATTAATATTTCTATTATTATCATTATTATTATAACTATAATTACAACTATTATAATAATAATTTTAATTTTAATCAAATTAATATCAGATCCAATCAGATCAGATCACATCTCATCAGATCAGACCTGATCATATCTAATCAGATCTGGTCAATCCAGATCAGAACATCAAAAAATCAGATTAGATCAGGCCAACGGATTGCAGCCTACAAAGATTATTGACAAAGCAATTAAATTGTATTCATATTTAACCATAGATGTTATATTTTAAATTATACATATGCTTATTTCAATAAATCATTGTTGGTCTATATTTACTATTTATTTCATATCTGAAGTCTAACCATGGATGAATGAGTCATTATATTGCAGAGTTTGGTTAAAGAAATTAGATATTTAGAGGAGTAAATTGAGTTTTAACAGACCACTCTAAATATAAGTGATTATGTAATTGTGAAATTTAAATCATATTTCTTATTAGTGTGAAATAAAGTGATAGAGTTCTTAAAAAGTATTTTTACAGTTGCTTAAAAATTAAAAATGGGAAATATTGGTACATAAAAAGGGACGCTAAACTTTAAAAAAAACTCTTTTATGCGGTATATTACAATCTTATCCTTTACAAAACCTTTAATATTTATCCTAGGTGCATGATGACGTCTGTGTGAAGGTGCAAGACTAAACCCTAAAAAAACAGCAATCATACTAAGAGTTTTATAAGTTTGTTGATAGTATAAAACAACTTAAAAGCAGTTGAGTCCATCATCTTTTCACATCCCAACACTAAAGATTTTGTAGAATTTTTAGTTTTATGATTTACCAAGTCTCACAATGTGAAATATATTTACGTTAGGTTTCATTATTTTATAAAATAGCATTCTCTTGCTACAATTGTGATAACTTGATATTCAGAAATTATAAATCAACTTTAGGATCATTTTTTATTGACTAAGTATGTAATTTGACTTGAGTGGTCTCGCCATATATTTATGGTCAATAATTTCCTTTTTATTAGCAAAAATTTAATACTAATCAGATACTTACAATAGAGTCAACATTAATAAAAAGACATTTGCAATTATCACACTTTGTCGTAATATCTTTCAATTTTGTGTATGAGAATTTATATCACAAAATGTTAAATGCTACATATATATTATTTATACTTTGATGTTGATGTCTATAATATATAAAACATTGTTAGAAATATTTTTTTAATTCTGAAAAAAACCCCTATTATGCTGAAAAAACTTTTAAAATCGAAACAAATTTCGTTCGATTCCGTGTGTCGCACGGGTCAAAATACTAGTATAATAATAACATGTCCTATTCCTAACCCACTAAGGAAACCCAAACCCTCGCCCCTTTTGCATTATACATATACGGCGGGATTAATTCTGGGAGGGAGTTATTTAGCCGCAAAGCAAAGAGGAAAAAAAACAGCAACAGAAAGAAAACAGAGTACTTGCCAAGATCTCTGGACAAGGAGAGGTCGACCGCCGGTTCCCTGTTGCCTATTCGTCCGAAAAACATCATTCTTGTCGCCGACTTCTTCGTCGATTGAATTGTTGGTTTGTTTCGTTCAATTCGTCATTTAATCAAGGTGAGTACATGGACATGTAACGCTAGATTATGTATATAGATTTGAATTTCATGTTCGTAGTTTAGTATGATAGATTACGTGGTTTATTTGTTATTAATTGAATTATGATTCTAAATTATGATTTATTGAAATTGATGAATCGATGGAGAACGAGGTACGTTTCCTACTCCTAATTACGTGGTTGTGTAACATTAGACCTACGAATGTATATTATTGTGAATTGACAAATCAACGAAGCATGCCTTATCTCTCTGCTTGACTTCCCGACCCACTGTTAACTAAAACGAGCCAGACGGTACCCAAGTACCGATCCACGGTACCGAGGTACCGTACCCCTATCCCGTGAGTTGCACTACAGCTGGTAGCTAAAGGCCGACGGTACACTGGTACCGTGCCAACGGTACCCAAGTTTCGCCTGACGGTACCGAGGTACCGTGACGGGTACCGTACCGATAGTAGAAATCTTGTTATTTGTTTGTTTATTCTGATTTGAATCTGTATCGATCCCATTGTCTTATATGTTGCATGATGGTAAGTGGAGAGTGTTTACACCCGACATTAGGCCACTATTTGGACTGCATGATGATCTATTTAGCTATTTCTTTTTTCTTAGTTTATTGTGGATATAATGTGATATGCCTTCTACGTATAAAGTAAACTCAGTTGTTGATAGCTTGGATCTGGATAACTAAAGTATGTTAATGACGTAGGTTACCTAGAAGAACTCTAGGGCTGCTTGTGAGAATTGAGACTTGTAAGGTGACAATAGGTGTAGAGCCTTGTGGACTTAGTCCAGTAGCATTCGGGTAAAGATGTACGTACATGGATTGGAGGTTCCACCCAACCCGCACCGTAGGTACCGGGTTGACCAGAATCATGGCCCTAGGTCATGGTTCTGATGTCATAGATGTTGGAGTTGTGCCCTGATGGCCAACTGTTTTATCGTTATTCTATCATGTATAGGGAGATATAATATCTTTACACATCTCATACTAATGTAAACAAATATTATATTCCTAGATTTATATTTAAAGATGTTTATCAGATAGTGTTATTCTACTGATGAGACTAACATCTTGAAATAAATCTTTATCTGAATGTCCATAGTCGAGTATTAACGAGAGTAGGATATCGTTAATGCATGTGAGACCAGTGTGTGTTGGATGTTTGACTTAGTGTCATGGTCAATGACGATGTGTTCATGCTCTAAAGATGTTGCTTGAACTTTTAGTTCATGCTCTAAGCATCTTTAGCGCAACCAAGAGTGTAACTATCCTTCAACTTGAAATATTACGTTTTCTGCATATGTGAACCTGCATGCTTTAATGCATTGTCCTAAGCCATATGAAATAAGGATGGTATACAGGCTTTGTTTTGGGCATTCGGAAATGTAGATTACGTACATATAACTAAGGATATTGCATGTCCATGCTGAGATGTTTTTATGACGTCTGGTCCTATCAGTCTGACTTGATAAATCATTGAATGACTTAATGGATACAAGTTGGATTTTATTAATTCCTTGCATTAAGTTTAGACATTGAGACAAAGGGATACAGTTACATGGAGTTGAGTCGTGGAAAGGTTTTGACGGTGCAAACGTCTTAACTTATAATCTGGGGGCAATAATGTGTTGCTAGATACCTCTTATTGCTTATAGTATCGGTGCAGAGCTAATACTATGACCAGCTGTATAAGTGCCTATACGGGTCACACACTTTGGACAATTTGAGGAGAAGAATTAAACAATGGGATAATAAGTAATTTGTATATTTGTAAAATAGTAAAATAAAATATTTTGGAATATAATATTATATATATAAATATTCAGTTTTATATATATATATATATCTGTGTGGGTGTGTGTATGTGTGCCGATTAATATAGATATATTATATATTGAATATTTTATTTTGGAGAGACATTTTAATTATGAAAATAATTATTTTGAACTAAACTGTTTAAAGTATATTTATATACTTGTTTAAAATGATATTGGTAATTTTATTTGAATTAAAATTAATTTTGAATTAACTTTTGGTGTTAAATAAAATATACTTTGAACATTTGAGTGGAGAAGAAATTTACAAATCCTTCCCACATGATTTTTTGGCCAAATGATATCTATTAAAGGAACAAAATTTCCTTGATTGATTATTGAGTGGGGCTAACTATTTTGTCATTTATGTAATGACAAAGGCAAATTCATAATCACTTTTTCTCCTTAAATATACTCCACACCATTCCCTTCTTTTTAGTAG